GATGCATCAGAAAGAAAGTAAGAGACGAAGGAAGAAACGAAGGAAGAGAGAGAGAGAGAGAGAGAGAGAGAGAGAGAGAGAGAGAGAGAGAGAGAAATTTTAGAAAGCCCTTTAAGGCAAAAAAGCGCATTTTAATGTCATGCATACGAAGAAACACCTGTTTTCGTAAAGCTGTATTTGACTTAAGACGGGTGTGTATTTTCAATGCTTTAGTGGCTTATCAATCTGACGTTTTAGGATTTCCCCCGGGATAATGCTACCTAGGTAAGCCATCATTGAAACCAATATATCTCCTGTGACTAATTGAATTTAAGTAATTCCTTTTGATATCAAAATTTTATGAGAACAACAAAATGTGCCAAAAGTGAAACATATCGAAAATTAAAAATTTTCTGGGGCAATTGAATTCGGTTGCAACTGAGAATACAACATAAAGAATAACGAGTTTAAACAATTCGACTATTTAACATATCTTTTTGGGGGAACTTCGGTAGCAAGTAAGATTAATATTCAACTGAAGTCATGCAAAAACGGTCTTAGTAATAGTAAATTAAGTATTTTTAAAGCAATTGCAACAACGTTTAGTAGTAGTAGATATATTTCAGCAATCCAGCTGCAATCATCAGGAATAAAAACTAACAAAGTAAACAACGAAATTAACGATCTCACTATGAAACAATACCAAAAAGTGCAAAAAATAATTGAAATATTTAAGCCTACCTGTGAGTGAGCGCTGCTTCTTTGTTAACGATCAACGGGAAAATGGATCTAACACTCTTTATGTAAAATATATATGCAGGTTTAGAAGTGCTAATTAGTATATATATAGACTTAGAGGGCACCAGTTACTAGTCAGTCCCTGATTGGTCCGTTCGGCACCTGACGTACTGACGTCACGTCTTGCTGGATTCTAACAAGACAAATAAAGACGCGGAAGTCTTCAGTATTAGGGGAAAATAGAAATTTTAACACACTTTGACTAGAATATATACAGGTTCAAACGAAAAGTTACTTAGTATATATATAGCCCTAGATGACACCAGTTTAAGTGCTGATTGCAAGCCAGTCTCTGATTGGCACATTTGACACCTGGAGTAAAGTCCCGTCAAGTCACAAGAAAACGAATATCTTGATCGTTAGGAAAAAATAGTCATTTCATTGTGGCATCTAGAATCAAATTTCTAATGAGCTCTTTAGCTCTGTTATCAATGTGATTTAGCTTTGATATAAGATGGAAATCTATGGTGTTGTAGTTGCGCACATTCTACATTCTACTCCTGAACTCCGCATCTCATGTGAAGAGATGTTGTAGGCTATCTTTCTCAATTCGAGAGGTTTTGTCTGGGTTCTCGGGTTTTTCTCCCACCTTGAAAACGAACACGCTATATTGCAATTCGATCTGTTTGTTATTCGTACCCTTATTTACATCTGAGCGGAGATCTAAAGGTTTCTATTTTAGGGTTCAATTTGCGAGTTAGAAGTTTTCTGACTTAAACCAGCCCAGAGGTTGTTTCCGGGTTCGATATGTGAGTTAGCCATGTCCTAATTTGAACAGCCTAGAGGTAGTTTCAGGATAATCGAAAACGGGAATTGAAGGAAAAATTTAAGTCAGCCAAGCCAGAGTTAAATTCGGGCTGCGCGTAGGCTGTCGCCAACGCTTCACTAACCTGCAACCTTTGTCATTCCTCTTGACATTACTGGCAATTAAAGATTTAAAAATGTCAAAATAGAAAAAAGAATAAGATGCCAAAGTGAAGATGTTTTTGACAGATATGATAAATGCACCTAAAACTATGTTTAAGTAGCAACCGGCTGCGTTTAATTAGCGAGTGAGTGCCAAGCCGCTGTTTAAACTGACCTGACTAAGAATAATAGGCAACAAATTAATGAAACTTAATGAAACGCGATTGGGAAAAAATAGTTTAAATTCAGTTTCATCAAACGCTGTGTTTTGAAATTCTTGGTATTGTAATTCTCTTTTTATATAATTATGAAAGGTTAAAAAAGACTTAACGAAAACAAACGGAGTTTGTAAAGATTTTTGGGATTATAATATTGATGGTTCAAGGCGGATTTAGAATATTTCCAGGGGGGTGCCGATTCGTAATACATATGAAAATATGAAACGGATGAAGCAAAAAAAGGAAGCAAGATTCCCCTGATTTCGCTAATGCAGATCAGTTGAAATTACCTTGATTAAGCTAGTACTCAAAATGCTTGAAGATCTAAGTAGATTTGACTAAGAAGCAGCTACCCTACATTTCATATTCTGGCTGCGTTCCCAGCGTGGTTGGTCCTTGTAGTGTAGTGGTTAACACATCGGACTAGAATTACCGAAGACGTGGGTTCGAATCCTGCCAAGGGCATTTGATATTTTTCTCTTATTCTCTCTACTTCATTATATACACACCGAACGCATAATTTATTATTACTATACTATGTCTATTCTTTGCGTACATATTTACGGTGTTCAACTTATCTATAGAGAAAAAATATCGCTCTGGGATCCTCACGAATACCCTACATTTCATATTCTGGCTGCGTTCCCAGCGTGGTTGGTCCTTGTAGTGTAGTGGTTAACACATCGGACTAGAATTACCGAAGACGTGGGTTCGAATCCTGCCAAGGGCATTTGATATTTTTCTCTTATTCTCTCTAAGAACAAGCTATAGAGTTGAAGTTGTAGAATCTATTAAAAACAAATATCAACAAATATTTGTCACCTCTAATTTTACAGTAAAACCAAGAGGAAATAAACCCCATCATGAGCACTCTTTCATGCTATTTTTAGAATCATTGATGCTATTTTTAGAATCAACCATTTGATCGTTTATTTTAATGCGTGCGCATAATGCGCACGCTCTACCCTGTTTACTCATGTTTTCTTTTGTTTTTTAAAAAAAACGTGAGAAAACCTCTTTCAGGAAAACAAACGATGGCAAATGTGATTCTAAAAATAGCGTCAAACGGTGCCTTCGATGGTTACAACCATGAATATATATATACACCAGAGATTACTTCTCTTATAATTAGTTCATTTGCTCTTGGTTATTGTCTCATTATACTTAAAGGTCTTGTAATAATACTAAAATCACTTGGTATATGATCATCACAGTACAATATTGCGTGACCTAGCTACCCTTCCCTCCCCTCCCTCCCCTACTCATCTCGACCACTTTTCGTGGGCTTCAAAATGTGATAAAACCACCCTAAAACCGTTATTGCGAATTTCCCAAAACGATTTACAATTTCAATTGTGCACACCCTTTTTTTAACTCTCTATTCAGTGTCCTAATAATATAATGATATCAAGAGACCATCCTAGATTCTTCATAGTCTGATTGATAACCAACAAGCTTAAGGGCAGCTGCCACCTTTTCTATTTTATAAAAAATAGCCATCTTATCTATAGTTAATCTAGTTTTACAAGCATTTTTTTCTGTCATCCACTTTATCCACTTGTGGTTGATTTGTGAACAGGAAGCAAATATTGTAATGTCCTCTAAAAGGGGCGCCATGATGACCAGAAGTATTAAACTTCAAATTTCGGCGATACCTCAAAACAACCTTTAGGCTAATCTAAGTCAGGGCATACATAACTCGCAGATTAACACCCTGAAACAATCTCTGGGCTGATCTAAATCAGGGTATGCCTAACTCACAGTTGTAAAGAGAAAATCAATCAAAAAGAAAAACTATTAGGTAAAACATTTTTGAAAAAGGAACTTATTCGCTTGACCTTCTTTTAATACCAACCGCAAATAAAACTTCCCTCATTTTAATGGTTTGTCAATAGACGAAAATACATGTCATACTTTTATGAAACAAACCTGTTTTGATCTTAAGAAATTGCTTACTATCAATCACCTGACTTTTTGGAGTTGACTGGGGGACAAACAAGCGGTTGACTGAGGGGCAACTAGCGGATGTTAAGTTAAAACATGTCAAAATAAGTACTCAAACTATTGTATTTTGACTATTTCTACGACATGAAACCAGAAAACAAGAGATCAAAAAACCTTCAAGATTCTACATTCCTTTAAAAATGCAGCTATCCGGAAGTGACGTCTATTGATAGCAACCTATTTACCATTTTCCATACATCGGTTCACTGGCCAAACACAAAGCGCTCAAGCGAGGCGCCAAGGTACTTTCAAACCATTATTCAAATTTGAACCTTGCAACCTCGACTGAATGCTTTGTGTTTAAGTAGTAAACCGATGGAAAATGGTAAATTCGGTTTCGCTAGAGCGAGTCTTGGGAGTAAGTGCTTTGAATTTTGAATGACTTGTTATACACTTATTTCAATAAAGTTAATCACCTGAAAAGCTATAAAGCTGAGGCCGACAAGGATTATGGGTAGATTCATTTTACACGTTCAATCGCTTGATAACTGTTTATGGACTTACGAATCTTTTAACGGTTACAGTCTCACCTCTTCTGAGCATCATCGAGCTGCAGTTTGTATTAAAAAAGCTTTGTATATATATGCTTTTTTGATATGCAAAGTTTCCCACGATGCTCAGTGATCTCAGCTTTCTAGGTTTTTGGTGACTAACTTTATTGAAATAAGTGTATTATCGAAAACATATCATATCTTTAGTTATTTCATTAATCTCTTGAGAATATTCAAATACTCAATCCTACAAAGCACTGAATCAACAATAAAATTAACCGAAAAAAAATTAAACTCTAATAGTCAAGATTTTTATCACCGATATCCTGAAATCAAGAGCTGTGCTAACATTAAAGGCTAACATTAAAGCCCCTATAATGTAGAGATAACTAGACTGTCTATCTTGATAATATTAAACAGACATTGTATTTGAAATATAAAATAAATGGCTGCGGGCGTTTAATTTTGAGAACGTTTTTTTGGTGTTGTTGTAATGAAGATTTTTCCACCAGCGTCATGTAGCTCAACGCAACGTTTAATTTCACCTTTACACATATCATAAGAGTATACTTCTAAATTTAGAGTAATAAAAGCGACGTTAAAATCTTTTACTTACGTATTCTATTAGGAATATAGTTTTATGTTTGAAAAGTTTCATAACTAAAACCTTGGGGTGGGGTGGGATGGGGAAAAGTTCACTTTTAGGCTCAGATGAAGATCAGTTTCTGCTGAGAGCATTCTTAGCTACTGATAATATTTTCAAATTAAGTGTCTTTTCATCAGATTCAAAATTTTTCTCTTGATTCTCTGGTTTTCCTAACTTAGCTTTCCTTGAACGCTGAATTCTGTCTCTTATATCGCTAGCCAACGCAAGGCTTAGCATTTGTGCCTATCATGACTTACTTTTATAGACCGACTGAATGGACCTTCGTGGAAAAGATATAGCTTGTTGGTAAAGCCCCTAGGTGTTCAACATTTCAGATTCAGCAGAATCGATAAAGCCGTATTTTTTCCTGTTTAAACAGGCTTTAATAACAAATAGCATATAGCAAACAGACCTAATGGGCTCCTTGTCTGAATTTAATGAATATCTTTATCTTTTTCATCTAACTAAGCTAAAAATAACACCGGAGAATCGAAGAAATCGAAGAAAAATAAAAAAAAAACAAATATAAACAGCAACATGAAAAGATTTWAAAAATTATATTTGATAAAACTGAAGAATAAGGGGAAACGTTTTAGCTGTACTCGCGTTTCGGTTGGTCCTTCACCACACAAAAACTATTTTTAATGAAAACTAAGCTTCAGCGTTTGCACTAGTTGAAAGTTGTCTCTTATGTATTTGTTTAATATATTTCGTATTCAGCTCTGTTCGCTAAATTTTCGCTAAACGTTCTTGTTCAATAATATGTTTTCGACAAAAAGGACTGAGAACATTTCTTTGACGGTAATTAACAATTTATCCCCTAATTGTTGAAGATAAGTATCTA